GAAATGAAAGTGTTGACTTTACTGAACCAAACTGGTTCCACTAAACCCATCAATTTACATTTAATCAACACTTAATTGTTTAGAGTGTATAAACAACTCTTTTTATGAGTTCAGTTAAATTAAATTTGTAACTTGTGTTAAATTTTACAGCAAAGATACAAAGGACCATTTTTAGGTTTTGAATGTGACCAAATAAAAGTAAAGTTATGGTTAAAATAATACTTTGTAAAATTACAAATCCTCAAAAAAACTTAAGTACTGCAATTAACTAAATGTACACTCAAAAACCAGATATGTTGGATTTACTTAAGTTGGTTATGGAAAAGGAACAAAACCTCCACAATATGCGAAGTGAGGATCATACTGTTTATTTATTTGTTTATTTTCAGGGATTTTTGATCAACCAGCACAGAAACGGCTGCACCCATCAACATGAAATTTGTCAGGACTGTAGATGAGTCGGACCCACACTGCACTAGTTTTACAATAGACCCCATATTTGAGGAGGGGGCTCCATCTGAAAAGGGGGTGTCTGGACATGCAAAAACACTTATAACTCAAAAACGATCCAGCGTAGGAGTTTCAGTGTTTTTGTTTTGCTCTGAAGGGCTATCCATCGAGCCCACCAAAGAGCCCCCCCACCTCAAATAAGTCTGTTCTGGTGAATTCTGGTGCATTGGTACTTTGCGTACATGCGGGGGTCATAAATGCTACTGCTATGTGGTCTCTAGCTTTGTTTTTGGTTTTCTTTTCTCGAATACGGATGTTGTTCAAGTTTAAATTGTTTGAAGTAGTTTTTTTTTAATTAGGGGCAGATACAAGATTACTTTTCTTCTTTCCCATCAAATTCATTAATTTGTAAATTGAAAATGTTGAAGTTCTTTGATTTGGTTGATAATAATATTCTACAGGTTATGTATAAGGCCCACAAAAACACATTACCTTTAAACATCCAAGTCAATTTTGTTAAGAGAAAGAGTTGTTTTAACCTTAAAGGGACAGAGATATTTGTAAAACCCAAACTCAGAACTAGTTTGAAGGAACGGTGTACTTTAATTCAAGGAATAAAACTATGGAATAATTTGGGAAGTGATGTAAAAAATGCAGAATCATTATGTACGTTTAAGAAGATAAAAAGTTGGATTGTTAAAGAAATATGAAAAAGTATAATATGTATCTATATAAATTGTTGTTCTAGAGGGATTAGATGTTCTTGTCTTTTGTTTTGTTAACAGATCTTTTTGTTATATGAGCTTATTCTTGGGAAAAGAAGGGGCAGATATAAGATTTTTTT